TTGAGATACGAGCAAATGACGTCGACGCGGAAGCCATCTCAATATACAGGCAGCTCAGACCGAGTGCTACGAGACTCCCGAGTAACCCGGGTCCATTCTTGTGGACCTGCTACTGTTGCTCTAGCTACTGGAACCGCATACGATTGCACATAATCTTAGCACGCCAGTCCCACACATACCGTTCCCGAAGCCGAATCCAAACAGTACCGCCAGCGGCGTCCATTCAAACATATCCTTATGATATCACCGCGGCGACGAAACCGCAAAGAAGTTTCCAAACAAGTCGGCCGTGCGAACCAGCACTCCACCCGCTCCACAACGTCCACGGCCATCATAGTTGACTGTGGAGCGAAGCGCATACGTCACACACTAGTAGTCGCAACCATGTCCTCAATCGCGCGCATATTGTAACATTCCACAGGGTTGCTGGGGGAGGGGAGGGGGACGAGGGACTGATCTGACGGCCTGCATAATAATTATCGGTGATCGGTGAAGGACAAAAGGAGCGTAGGACGTCGAGCCACGCTGGACGACGAGTTGGGATTGCGGCGGCATGAAGTCAAACCCAGAAGAAAACGGTGGTCACGAACGCGAAGGGGAGACCACTCTTTTTGGAATGTTCAAGAACGACATGGGGCGGCAGCGATGGAGGTACAGGCAAGAGGACGATGAGCGAGACGCAGGTGAGCAAAGTCAGGAGAGGGAAGGAAGGCGAGGAAGGGAGATAGGGGGGAGCGATGCTCGGGTACGAGCCTCGGAAGGAGGAAAGAAACAGACGGGCTCCCGCAACGCCCAGTCGTCCAGCGAGTTCGCATCGTCGGGAACAGGGGGCGCATTAATTCCTGGCGGAAGACCATATGCTCGGATGACCAATGACCGCATGCGGGGAAGGTACGTTGAGGAAAAAGAGCCGAGACCGAGACCGCGGGGTAGGAACAGGAACCGGTACCCGACGCTGGGAAGAGCCAGAAAAAGCCTTGGAGCGGAAGGCCAACTGCGGTGCACCGGCGCAAGCGTCGGGAGAGCAACAGCCCGGCCGGCCAGCTGGGTGGGAGGGCAGTTTAGCATGCGGGCGGCGCGCCGGTCCTCGCGAGCGAACGCTGAGGAGTTGGCGGGATCGAGGATTCGGTGGTGGCGATAAACGAGCGGACGGCCCACGAACTGCGAGTGCGCGGTCACATTGTGGCGGATTCCAAGATGCGTATGGAGCAGGTATAAAGGGTAGCAGGGATGAAAATTCGAAGGGTCCATAGCCCAAAGGCGGTTGGAACATCTTTGTGGCTATTAATAGTCCGTGGTACAATAAGCTATAATGACCAGCGGGAGGAGGGTAGTGCGGATGCGACGATGGTGAGGATAGAAGGGGAGGGCACCGGCGGAGGCAGAGATGGGGAAGCGCAAGGAAGGGGCAGGGCTGAATGCGGCGTAGTGATTACTCTAACGCGATTTGTCGACGACGGGAGGAAGGGGACACCCTCAACATACCCCAAAGACGATATCGAAAGACGAAGGACAAACGTAAACGTGGACAACAGCAGTAGCGACGACAGCGGAAGGGCATGAGACGAGACATCAATGCGACGGAAGACGTACAGTGGCAGAATACAGTCTGCATGTGAGACTGCAGGAGGTCATGCCATTTCAGACTAAGCAGCACAGAACTGTCCGACGACCACCGGCTCTAGTGATCTTGCACTGTTGCTGCATCGTCGCCGCTGTCGCTCAGCGTCTCGACACGTACACCTCTCGACGAGCCCACGCTGCGTATATCGCGTCCCTCCTCAGCAAGCTCCTGGCTGAGCAGCTCCGCGCGGGACGGCTGAGGCGGCTCGTCCGGGCTCTCGCCTTCTTCGACAGGCGTGTCAGCGAAGTCGGGTTTCCGGAGAGCTTGTCGGAACGCATTAGCCATAATCGCCGCGTCCGCACCCGAGAACGGCCCGGTATCGCTTGTCCGTGAGATCATCGACGCGCCATCGTGCCCGCCGCCGGGCGACGGTGCCCGGTCGCTGTACATTCCGGCGCCATATCCAGCAGCTGCACCCCCGCCAGCGAGTGCCGCAGGGCCTAGCATGGGCGATGTGGGTCCACCACGTTCTACATTCGCCATCATGGGCGTCGATGAACCCATGGAACTGCGGTGTGAGAGCCTACCATCACGTCGCTGGCGCAGGCGCCGCACGATGTAGAAAGCGAGGATGCCGAAGGCGACGAGCGCGAGGAAGCCCAGAACGACGATCACCGCGATAGCCCACTTCGGGAACGATGATGAACCACCGCCGGGTTGGATGTTCGCGCTCGGACCACCAACTGCGCCAGTTCCGGTTGCGGTGGGAGCTGCCGACCCAGAAAGGTGAGATCTCGAAGAAAGCGAAGAGAGCGAAGCCGAAGCGGCCGATGCAGATGATGCAGAAGCCGCTGATGCAGAGGCTGCCGACGCAGACGAGGCGGAGGCCGCAGAAGCTGAGCTCATAGAGGCGATGACGGAACTGGCGAACGTCGTTTCTGTGTCACATTCAGACATACGAACGATGGGACGGAGATGGACAGTACTTACGAACGGCTGTGAAAGTCGACTGAGGAATGTCTGTGTTCTCTATATCCTTGTCATTGCGAGTGATGAGGAAGTAAAAGGGATGAGACAGGTTCTGGCCGTTCCATTCGCTACCTCTTGAGCCCCACCAAGCGTCGTCGACTTGAAAATGGATCTGACCAGCCCTGCCAGAAGGATTGGTGACGTTGGTCTGATTTGTGACCGGAAGTCCAGTATCGGCTTGAAAGAGGTATATGTTGACGAGATTTGTCTGTGCCCACTGGGGGAGCCTGCTGTTCCCTGTGCACGGCGAATGTATCACGACCCGAAGCGTATGGGGAAAAGGTGGAAGGACGCGACGTACAGACAAATGTGGCCCATTCATCTTGCGCGAACACGGTCGAGGAGTTGGGGAAGCAAGATATCACGTCGTTGCCCGAGTCGAGTTGACATCTTGTTGCAGCATCGTCTGTTGGATCCCAGCGCGTATACCGACGAAGATCGCGTCGCGAACGAATACGAGAGCAAGAGACGGGAAACAAGCGTAAGACGTTGCAACGATTCATTCAAGTATGGATATGGGCATATAAGAACTAGAAAGGAGGGAGCTGAGGAACACGCACCAATAGCGGCCTGATCGACGATGCTCATGTCCCTCGCCTCATACACGTAGGGCGTGGTCTGCGCACGCCTACGCTTCAGACCGTGGGGAACCGGTGGGGGCGGAGGCGTCGGCGAGGGCAAGGGCGGAACATGGCGACTTGAAGACGCGGACATAGGCCGGGGAGGGATGACGATTCGAAGGGGGCGAGGGCGGGTGTCGTGAGAAGGAGGTGGGCGACGGCAGATTAGGGCGCGAATGTGAGCAAAATGGCATTATCTGAGGCGGAGAGGGCTGAGCACGCGGCGCCCCCGGGGGAGGAGGAAGACGTCTGGGCGGGACGTGGACAAGGAGGGGAGCGGGCAGCGGAGGGAGGAAGGAAAGGACGGGGCGGCAGCCTGGGCTTGCTCTGCCGGTGGAGAGACGGCGACATCACCAGATATCCCCAGCCTGGGAGTGTCACGCCCAAATTCGCTCCTCGTCCCCGGCCTCGTCCCTCCCTCCCCCCGACCGCCCCAGAAGGTGATCGATGCGGGGTGGAATTTACGGGCTACGGGTGCACAACGGGCGAGGTTCCCAGAGTTATCTCCGGACCGCGGGATTACCAAGGGAAAATGACAGCGGATGTAAAAATCAGCGTCGCATGCCCCGCGCCGGGTGGTGTGCTCGGATCACCGGAATTCCCCGGCCGATCCCCAACCCTACCGCACCGAGGCCATTGCCCAACTCTGTTCCACCTCTGGAAGCACTTGAATATATCGGGTATCTGTGTTGGGAACATCCCAGGTAAGAGATCGAGTATTCTGTAGCTCGAAAAGCGGCATTGCTCGTCGGGGCACGTCTCGAACAGTCACCGCGAGCGTGTCCCCGAGCTGGAAGGTGGCCGGAGAGCAGGCTGGCGGGGCTCGGCAGGTGCCTGCCGCTGATCCGAGCACACCACCCGGCGCGGGGCATGCGACGCTGATTTTTACATTCGCTGGAAGCTGGGCGCGGTGGGCGCATGTCTGGAGTCAGAAAGGGGTGCGGCGGCTCTCGAGGGCAGCGGTGGGCCCGAGGACGTCGAGAGGACTGAGCAGAGGGAGTTCGCCTTCCCTGGCCACCTCTCAGCCATGTTTGGCCAGTCCCTCCAGCCTGTCGACGTTGGCCTCAGCCGTTGGCGAACGCCCCGACCATCATCCGTTCGGTCTGCCAGGTCAGTCACCGACGTTCCAGACCCAGGGCTATCAGAGCGGTCCCACGCAAGGGACAACAACGCTTCTTCCGCTCCATCACCAGCGTCAGATCCGCCCTCGCCGCTACGGAACGCCAAGTTCCTGAATCCAAGCGCGCGATACTCATCGTCTGCCTTGTGTGCGCCCTTGGCGCGGCCGTGCCGCTGTCTGCATGGCGCACATCAGGTACGCATGATGCGCTCGTCCGTCTATCGCCTGAACGGGAGGAGGAGCTCTCCTATCTTCGAGGCACAATGATGCGCTGATTGGTTCGTTCGCAGCCATCTCCCGAATCCGTGCATCGTGCATGTTCGTGCCAACGGATGTCCAACGCCGTGAAGCCGCACAGGCAATTGTTTCCTTGCGCCTGATGCTCGGCGCTTACCCTTGATATTTTCGTGGCTCGCGACCATCTGTATGTAACACGCACGCTGCGACGTCTGCTGTGGACTGCGAACCTGCCATGGGCTGCGACTCCTTCGTTTCGACGGTTGCCTCCAAGTATACCGGAGCGGTCCTTCCACCTACTGTCTTCTTCTGATGAATATTCCGTGCTTGTCGTAAACTGGGGAAAATGGAAGCCTGACTGCCGCATTCACCGCCCGATGTTTCTGCTCGAGCGCTACGTCGTTCCGCCGCGGTGCAATCAGTCGACGAGACACTGTTCGAAAGGCCAGCATATCAGTGTACAGTGTCAAGTACACATCGCATGTCTCAGGATCATCTGCATTAGCTATCGCGCCGAAGCAGGCCGTCCGAACACCGCGCCTATCCCTGACCTTCGCCAGTAGGCATGCATGTAAGACTCAGCCGTGTCCGGCATGTACCCGTCGTCTCCACGTCCCCATACTTGCCTCAGCCACAGCACAGCCGTCTGCCGTCCACCCGCACGCGACAGAGCCCAAAGACTCCCATTGCGTCCGTGGCCATCTCTCCAGAGTAGAGCCAAGTCTGTGGTCGGGTCTCACGCTGATTCCCCTAGGTTGCAATCAGGCCTTCTCTTGTCCACGTATGTTCCTCCGAATTCCCTCTATAGACCCTAGCAGCCCCAGGTGTCCGCGGCACGCGCTGCCGTTCATTTTCATTGAGTCTCCGAAGGTTCTGGGCGCGGCGGGTGTGGGAGGACGTTACGTACGCGCGAGTGCGCCCGTCTCGCGGCGAGAAGGGATGCTCTGAGTCGGCCTTCTGGCTCTTCTCAGCTTCTGGAAGTGTGTCGGCGTTGCTTACGCGCTCGCAAGCCGTGGCTGCGAGTTTCGTGTTGGTAGGGAAAAGTATGTGCAGCAACGATGAATGTTGTTAGAGTTCGCACAGAACGTCGCAGCGCGTGACTGTGGATGGTTGCTTTGAGACGAACATGCATGCCGTATAATAAGGTCGTTCCAGGATAATCAGAGTGGTCATATTGGTTTGCGATGGAGTCGCTTCATCTCTTCAGCGGAGATACGAGGGCGGCAATATCGTGCTCTCAGCAAAGTGACGTGGGTGCTCCGGTCGGATTGCATTGAGGTAGTGTATAATAGGATTTACGTTCGCAAAGGACGTTAGAGTCAGATTATCCGATCGCAGACGAGGCCCATGACCGTGCTCTAATAGTAGAAGACCTTGGGCGCAAGTCGGGTATCAGGGTGTTGCATTTAGTCTTCCAATGGACTTACTTATTAGCTCCCAGAGCTAGGAAGAATATACTTACATTCGAACTTCCTACAAACTATCTCGAAGTCATGTCAAGTGTTGCCTCACCCGCATCGGCTCAAGTGGAGAGATCATTGATCGAGTGACAAGCGGCAGCCACGACTCCAACAAACCACCTTGCCGGTACTCTACTAGTACGCCTATGCGCGAGCCTTCCATCTGAAGCCAACTATCAATTCGCGACTTTCAGCGCCCCCAGACGCATATTTGTTGACACCATAGCGCAACCAGCACTCACTAGTCGCGACTTTCTTCCTGGAAGTACGTCATGACGATCGTCACTCGTCGACGAGCCAGCCCGACTCCTTCAAGCCACCGAGCGCATCCTCCCACGCCTGGCCCTCCTGCCTCGTTACAGATACCGAGCTGACGACGTTTCTGCTGCCCAGGTCGATCCACTCGCCCTCCTTCGGCGCGTAGAGGTGCGGGCAGCCAGGCAGGTTATCCACCCAGCGATATACGCCTCCCGCTTCAATCGTCTTCCGCGTGTCGATTTTCAGAAGCCAGAGCTCCGTATTCGACTTGAAGAAGAGGGACGCGGTGATCGGGACCTGGGACGCGTTGGAGAGATGGATGAACCCGTCTTTCTGGTCAAGCTCGCTCAACGGGAGCACTGCGGGTATAGGTAATGGAGGGGCAGTCGGGAGGATCTTGTAAACGTAGGTGGGGAGAGGGTACTCCGTCGTCGTTGTCATAGTCTTTGCGGTCAATGAGTTCGCGAAAGAGATAGTACTGAGAGCGTTATTTCCAGTAAGTAGCGTGTGTGCACGGGGGTGCCTGATACATATGTAATTGTAGCTGACGTATACTAAGTAGGCGCACGCGCACACAGCGGCTGTCGCTCAAACGCGCTCTGTCCCCTCAATCACTCTCATCGAGGTGTCTGCTTGGTGCCGTTCTGTCCCTCGCACAACCTCCACATATGCAGACTATGTGCATGTGCGCGTGCGGATATCTCTTGTGATGATGCTCGTTTCATCGTAGACGTTCTTCTATCAGCATCCACGCGGATCCTCGACGTACCTGAAAGCCAACCTACCTGGTGTGGTGCTCTTGGCTTGCGCTGGCTGTCACTTCGACATCTGCACGACACAAATGAAGAGCCGAGCTCGAAGACTGACAGCCAAATGGATGACTTCCCATAAGGATCTACGGCTCTGGAGTGTCCGTAGACATATATCGGAGCTCTAATCTGTCCAGAGATCTCGGGCGCTCAATGATCAGGCCGGGATATCCGGAGAGCGTCTAATGCTATGAACGTGCTCTTTTGCGCCTTACATCAGCACCCAATGTAGTAGGCGATTGATCCCAACACAATTTGTAATGATGGCACCTTCCTTTCGAGTCGTTTACGACCTCAAGCGAGCTTCTACGGCTGCGTTTAGGTCTAGAAAGGGGGGTCGACCCCCCCTTCTAGATTTTGGGCGCTTGCAGCATCTACGGACGTCGGCCTCGAAAGCGGAGTACAAATCGGCATCGGCATCTCGGCGGATAGGACACTTTCAGTATCTACGGACGACAAAATGGCCGTAGATCCTTATGGGAAGTCATCCAATGAGCGTACGCATGCGCCCTTGCGCAGCCTCCGGTGATACGGCCTTTGGGCAGCATCTGGGCACGCCAATCCATCAACAGTTCGTGTGACCTCCCGACTGGGGGGATATCTTCCCCCGGTCACGTTGTGCATGGCTACATATCGAATGCGCACGTTCTTCAAGCTTTCTTTGCCCGGTTGGTTCCTGTTCCTCGACTCTGTCGACGCGTCAACGCAAGCGCACCTGAGAGTTGCAAGTGGGGTATATCAGGTCTCAGAAACGGTTCCATCAGGATCTTGCACCCTCACCTGGTCCATAGTATCCACACAGCCAGTTGGCAAGTTTCAAACTGACTGAGATGGTCTATAGTATTCTACTACGGGCAGTGTTCCTCGCTGCCTTGCAGCAGCAGGCAAGAGCCGTGACTATCGCCGACATCCAGGGCGACGCCTGGATCTCCCCGCTCTCAGGCCAGAAAGTCCATAACCTTTCTGGTATAGTCACCGCGAAGGTCCGTCTCCCATTATACACTCATGACCAGCCGTACAAGCGCGCTCATACGCATATATGCTCTTCACTCTACAGGGAACCTCTGGGTTCTGGATCCAAGAGCCCCGCACGGAGGATGTGCGCGTGTCAAGCGGTCTCACCGTCTTCACGACTTCGAAAACTATCCTAGCGAGCGTTGCCGTCGGAGATAACGTGTCGCTGTCTGGCACGGTCGCCGATTTCCGGTCGAGCAGCAACCCGACCTATCTTTTCGCCACCGAGCTCGATTTCCCTGCGAACATCACCGTGCTCTCGACCAACCACACCGTCGCCCCGCTCGTGCTCGGCCGGGACCGCAGGCCCCCGACGCAGGCGTTGTCCCGGCTGGACACGGGCAAGGATGGCTGGCTGTCCGTGCCGAACAACGGGAGCCAGATCGAGACAGCGAACCGCACGCTCCAGCCGACGAAGTTCGGGCTGGATTTCTGGGCGAGTCTGGAGGGCCAGCTTGTGACTGTAAGAAAGCCGGTCGCGATCGCCTTCCCGAACTCCTTCGGCGAGTTTTGGGTGCACGGCGACTGGCCGGTCACGGGGAAGAACAGTCGCGGCGGCCTGTCTATCACGTTTGGTGCTTCGCTGTTTCGTTTCTTCTAGTTGTTGCGGGCTGATAGACGATGAGCAGGCCCGGACGGCGTCCCAGATGCTAACCCGGAGACGGTTATCATCGGTGCGCCGCTTGACGGTACGAAAAACCCCACCGCCTCGCTGGGGAAGCAGTTCTCGGATATCACTGGTGTCGTCTTGTACCAGTATGCACTTTCCATAAACGGAGAGGGGAGGATACTCACAGTCTCTTTCAGGTTTGGCTTCTACTATGTCAGGCCACTGACAGCGCCTACGGTCGTTGCAACACCCAATTCCATCATCCCGGCCTCAAAGATATTCCCCAGTAGCGATGAATGCACCATCACCATTGGTGATTACAATGTATGGCCCGATTGATGTCGAAATAGAGCATATACTCACCCGTACGGCATAGGTCGATAACTTCGCTCCGACGTCTGCAACACTACCCCTGATCGGAAACCATATCGGAAACTTCCTCAACACCCCGGACATTGTCTTCGTGCAGGAGATCCAAGACAATTCAGGCCCCACAGACGACGGCACCGTCATCGCGAACGTGACCCTCACGAACCTCGCCAACGCCGTACAGCAGGCCAGCAATGCCAGCGCATTGTACGACTTCACCGAGATCGCGCCCGTGAACGACCAGGACGGGGGTGAACCCGGTGGCAACATCCGTGTTGCATATCTGTGAGTCTCAACGGGTACGCCAAGCGATAGTGAACACTGCGCTCAGCTTCGACCGGAATGCGTACAGGTTCAACGGTACCAAGTTCAGCCTTGTTCCAGGCTCCCCCGCTGGCGGCTCCCTCGACGCCACCGAGCCGCAGGTCAACAAACACGGCGTCGTCACTCTAACGTGCGGCCTCTAGTCCATAGAAAGAGTGCGCACTGACTGAATGGCGCACAGGTTCAACCCCGGCCGCGTCGACCCCGCGAACGATGCCTGGCAGGCCAGTCGCAAGCCGCTCGTCGCGCACTGGGAGACGCCATCCGGCGCACGCTTTTTCACGATCAACGTCCACCTCACCGCAAAGCTTGGCGGATCGTCCACCCAGGGCGATCCGCGGCCTCCGATCAACGGAGGCGTGGACCAGCGGACGAGCCAAGTCAAGGCAGTCGCGGTGAGCCCCCTCATTCTTCGCAAAGGCTGGTGGTGTGCGACGACGGTCGTACACGGTGCCCCTAATTTCTCGTTTTCTATTGTGCGAATGAACTATTCGTACCGGAAAGGGGCACTGCAGAGACTGGTCACGCGATATGGCGGCCTAGCCTCTTCTGTGCCGTGGCGTCCGTACCTATATATGACGCTTCCGTGAACTCCGTGCCTGGCGTGTGCCCTGCATCCAGATCAGCTTATCCAATCTTCATTTTCAGACTTTCGTCAAGAGCATCCTCCACAAGGACCCGCACGCGAACATCATTGTCGCGGGCGACCACAACGAGTACACGCAGACGCGCTCCGTCTTCGAGCCGTTCGAGGGCCTGCTCGTCGAAGTCGACGTCGCCGCGAACGTGCCCCCCGTCGAGCGTTATACGTACCTGTTCGACCAGAACTCGCAGCAGCTCGATCACATATTCGTCTCGCCCGCGATCGCCAACCGCGGTAGAGTCAAGGTCGAGCATGTCCACGTCAACAACTGGGCGTCTACCATATCCGCGCGCGGGAGCGACCACGACCCGACCGTCGCGCAGCTCAGGATTTGCTGAAGCTGAGGGAGGTCACACAAGTCGCTATTGCTGTAGCTATGTTTGTAGCTTTTCTGCGTGGTCGATATAAATCATGTGCTGTGGGGATACACTTGCGTTTCCTTCCCGTGCTCCGAAAGGCGTGTGTAGGTAGGGGGTCTCGAGGAGACGTTCAGCCCCCCGCCGTGCTCTGTTCTTCACCCTCCTCTTCGTCCGCCATGCTCTTCCGGATCTCGTCCCGCCACGCGTCCGCAAAGTCTGAGATGTCCCTCCCGCTGCTCATCGCGAGCGCCTCGATCGGCATCATGTTGTGCTGGTGCGCGGGCGCATTGCGCGTCGCCGCCGGATGGCTTGGCGAGTCCACCACACGCAGCTCCGGCGTGTCCGGGCGCGCGAGCAGGATCTCGTGCAACTCGTCGTACGTGAACAGCAGCGGGTCCGTGCGCGAGTGGTACGGGTTGAAGTCGACGATGTGGCCTCGTGAGAGGTCGCGGGTGAGGAGGAAGTCAAACACGTCTAGAGGGGGGAGAGGCACAATTGGTTGCGCGATCGGCGGGAAAGGTGCGGACGAGGAAGAAGAAGCGGGCGGAGTCAGTTGTCGTTGGACGCGGATACTGTGGGTTAGTGGGCAGAGGACGTACAGTCGCCTTGGGTCTGCTCCCACTTTCCTTTGATGTTGGTCTCCCAGAACTCGGTAACGGCCGCTAGCACCTTGTGTTGGGTGTCGCGTTCGTTCCAGAAGTCGTAGTAGTTCGGGTCTCGCTGCGAGATGCCTTGCGAACGGCGGGCTCAGCGACAGGAATCCCTTGTATCCACCGTAATAGAGCATGTGCGCACCTATGAGAACTTCTTGTCGCACGAAGCACCGCAGCTCCCTGGCACGGTCGACTGGGTACCATTTGCGCAGCACGAGCTCCAGATCATAAGGAGGGGATGTGTCGGTCTCGCGCGGAGGCTCGCAACCGTCGAACACGAGCTCGGGGTCAAGGTCGTGTTGTACGAAGTCCGACGACTTGAGTAACAAGTAGACGTCCGCTGGGGACGTGCACTTGAGAGGAGACGATGCCGGCAGCATCCAGGCAGCATCCTGATCATACGGTGTGAGCACGCAGGCAGATCGCGTATTTGGCAGGGAACGATTGTTGCCGGTAGACAATAGATCCAACGGATGCGCTCTGTACTCGCAAGATACCGCTGTCTGTAGAGTAGGACGGCTTTGGGTACTCACCCTTGGGGAAGAGAAATTGAGCTTTGGGAAGACAGCACCATACTCCGCTATCGCTGCTCTGATTTGCGCGTCGAGCTCTGGGAATGCAAACTTCTGTACATCCTCGCTCTCGCCATCCTCGCTCTCATCGTCGGAAAGATTGCTCTCAGCCGGCCTGGGTGTTGAATGAGAGTTGGGGCCGGAGGCAACGCGTGAACAACTAACACGTCTTCGGCACCGTCGGGGACGAACACGCCGTCGAAATCGAGATATTCGCGAAATGCAGCAGACAAGGGTCGGATGACGGTGGACTTGATGGAGTGCTGGCGGAACGCTGGGTACCAATTCGAGAACTGGAAGGCCAGGATGGCGGAGGGTGCATAGGATGGCAAGACGGGCGGTACGGAGACGGGCGCAGGCATGTTGTGTACGACGATGTCGGTCAGAAATTAGGGTCGATATCGGTCAGGGACGCAATACGAGGAATTGATGGGAGGAGCTGCGTTAGGCAGTGGGAGCTTATCTTGCCTGATCTGGACAGGGGATCGGGGACAGCGGGCACGGAACAGACCCAAAATGAATGGGCCCGCCGTCAGCGCAGGCTATTAGTGCATATCCACCTTCCCTCCTTCCCTCCCAGCCTTTCTCTCTCCTCAGACCAGGGAATGCTCACCTTCTCCCCGCATCCGGCTCCACACGTCTGAAGATCAGTCTTCTCTGCCCTTTCGCCCGCCATGGACTCGATAGGGTCGGCACCCACACCGGACCTCGCGTCCTCTGACGAGCTGACCAGCACGTTCGGCGTGCTACTCATCGGCTTCATCTTCTCCGTCGTCCTCTATGGCCTGACCTTCTTCCGTATGTTGTCCGCCTTTCAGGCGCCTATGCTCCTAATCGAAGTTCGTTGTGATCAGAAACCTACATCTACTACACCCGCTTCCCCGCCGATCACATGGGCACGAAGTCGATAGTAAGTGAGACTGCTTCCCAGCACGACAAGTGCCTCATTGACGTGCTTCTCCCAGGTTGGCGCGTTATGGTACGCACTAATTCGCTTCTGCTAAGGAGCCTGCTCACATAGCGCTGCGGACGGTCAGGGCGATGGACACGGGCGCAACGACCTTAAGTGAGTGTGCTCGTCGGCTGTCGCAGTGTGATAATGGCTCAGCTTGTTTGCAGTATCACATACGTCAGTGGCTCTACTATTTCCTTGCCCATGTGTCGTTGACGTGCCGTAGTATATACAACTACCTAATCACGAACTTCCTGTCTGCGTTCGACCAGCTCGTCACCACGAAGTAAGCTCTCTCTCCTTCTCTACGGCGTTCGAAGCTAATTAACGCTGAACAGGACATTCGTCGTAAGCTCAGATCGGCAATGCTGTGCGTGAGACGCTACTGACGACCATGGGCAGGCCGAACTAGTACTTGCGGTACGTGAGAGCTCCAGCAACGTGCCGTCGGATTGTCTGACGGAAAATCGGTAGGCGCTCTTGGTCCTTGTTGTCCAATGGTGAGTTGTGTTGCAACGCGGGTGGTTATGTTGCTGATCGTACGCAGTTATTATGCATTCCGCGTATGGTCGATCACGGATAAACAGGTGGTTATTCCGTTACTCCTTGTAAGGCTTGGAACTTCTCTCGTAATGTTGCTTGATTCTAAGTAGGTTATTAGGCGTTACTAGCGCTGGCATCATGTGGTAAGAGAATTGCTAGCGAGAAGTCCGTGTATGTGCTCACCCAGACTGTTGTCCTTGCCGCAGCTCTCAATCTCGGTGAGCGGCGTCCGCATCCATACCGCCCAATGTGTGTTCGCTGATTCATGGATGCAGCTAGCGTTGCCTCCATGTATGCGCTCGTCCAACTCAGGGGTAGTGCGGAAAACTAAATCATTCGCCTGTAGTGCGCAACAGGATCTATTCGCCCACATCGTAACCCACAACGTGAAGCTGATACGTGGCATCGCCTCTGCCTTGTCTGTAGTGGCGGACTTCGTCATCGTCGGAGCGATGCTGTTCTACATGCAGCCGGCTCGTAATCCTGGCATGGTCATAGCCAAGGGCTGGTTCGAGAAGACAGTTGTCTTCGGTTTCAATCGCGGGACGGTCTTCACGTGTGTCATCAAAACGGGTTCATCGTAATCGCAATTTGTTGACCCTGTGTCCGGTCTGCTACAGCGCGGTTCAGACCCTCGCCCTCATCATCTTCCTCGCCATGCCCACTTCGCAAGCGTGGATCCTCGTCGGCTGGGTCGCGAGCAAGATATACGTCAACAGTCTGCTCGCCATGCTCAACTTCCGCAACACGCATCGCGGCCGCGGCGTGCATGAAGAGGACAGCCTGAACCAGGCGGCGAGCAACCGTTCCGGCTCGCACAGCGCCGCCGTGAGCGGCGCACGAGACACGAATCGCAGCGTTCAGTTCAGCGTTAACCCCGATGCCAAGGTGCGTGCTTATATCCATATATGTCGCGTCATGTTCAGTCTGTGACTCCTGGGCATTGTTTCCGCAGCCACATGATCCGATGAGTCTCATCGAGCTCGATATGGTCGGCTCACCCGCCGATGGGTTCGATGACGAGGTGAGTTGTTGATGAGCTCGTCGTGTATCCGTCTGATGAGACTGATGCGGAAGATGATCACAGACCGGCAAAGCCACCCCTTGGCTCGATGCTGGAGGTCCTAGCAAACGTCGTGATTTCGACGAGGACTCGTCTCAATAAGCCCTTGTTGTTCCCTTGCATGTATGCTCTCATTTAGAAGGTTCGTGCATTCCTGAACCAAGTATATGCGTGCATTACCCACGCGAAGGATAGACTCCCTCCACCGCCTCCCTCTCCTTCACCGTATCCTACGTCGTATGATATATCAACGTTAATCGTTGGTACTCATCGATCCTCCACCCACTGTAACATACTGGCATATTTCGGTCTAGCGTTGAGCTTTACTCCAAAGCGTCGCGCCATCTCTGGTTTACCATTCATACGGTGAAAACTGGGCAAATGTATCGCTCAAGATGTTACCGTGAACGAAAGCGAGTTGGTATATTGTTGTTGTTTCGTGTATGCAGGCAGCGGCGTTGACGACTCAACCTCCGTATAGCTTTACTATTGAGACATCATGAAGCGGTCGCAGATGTCAAGGTAGGGACGATAGGGCTTCCTGGGCTATCCATGATCAAAGTGCGAGTGAGTGGACCAGACTGTACTGCAAGCATGCTCGGGGACCCGGTCACCCTGTCGTGCTCACTACTAAGTCAGCACCGGGTGGTGAGCGTCGGTGTGTGCCACGCTCAAAGTAGAATGCTCGGACGTCTCGTCCGTTCGATTTCCAGTTTCAAAGTTCGCGACAACTGACTGCCATGCTTCTACTGGTGTGCTTTGCACGCGATCTGGCTTGCATTGGACAGGAGCGGGACGACAATGCGGCCTGATGTCTCAGGCCTGAATGGAGCCATGCGTGTCCGACGTTCTAGCCCCATCACCAATGGACCACAACAAGTTGCAACAGTTGCGTATGAGTATCCAGTAGGTTCTTGAGCTACGGTGACGCGCTTCATTGAGCATTTGGAAACACAGGACGTGTGATGGTCCTCATGCGCTCCCTCTCCATAGGCGATTCGCTTGGTGTTAGCTGTGCTCCAAGGCATTCAGATGTAGACTGAACTTAGTATCGCATGCTGTTCTCATGGCGACTGACACTGCGACTTGTACCGGTCACGGTCCTTACTGACATTGGGACAGAGGAATCCAGGTTGATCAAACGCAATCCACAAGTATCTACAGCGCCTTGCATAAGTCCGTGAACGCGCGACTTTTTCTCTCCGGCGTCTAACCTACCCGACCTGCCTAAACAGGCCACATCATGGTCACAGGCCCAGACACGACGGGCAGCGCTCGGGATCCCTTCGCGTGAAACGGAGGTTTGTTTTCGGGAAAGTCGTAACTTGTCCCTTTGCCGACGCGTGCCAAAGGATGCTGAAGGGTCGACAATGGGAAAGTTGTACTTGCTCAGAGGTTCTAAAGCCCTTTGACAAAGAACGATTCGAGGCGGTGCCCGTAGTGAGAGCTCCCCTGCGGCTGAGCCCGCTCGCTGGGCCACTGGCATTTCCAAGAGTGAGTATGCCATGGGCCCAGTAAACTTGCGCATAAGTACTTGTAGTCATACAGTGTGCACAGTACACAGAGATAGTTTGCATGAGGGCAACAGTCACTGCACGAGATCATATCAAACGGGCCCTTGCCAATGAATACATGACTTGTGATGCTGTGGGTGGCCAGCCTCGAGTCACTCCTAAAATGCTTGAGAGTTGGACATGC